CCCCCCCCCCCCCCCCCCCCCGCCAGCATTCTTATATGCACCCATCTCATCGCTCACAACCCATTTTTGGTTGGGCTGCACTTCATAAGAAAATATGCCTTGCTCTCGTTTATTTTTAAAGTTTATTTTAGTCTTTCTTTTTTTATTATCCAAAGGATGTTTAATTTTGTTGGTGCCAAGTGAGACCTATGTGGAGAGACGTGCATCGATATATATCTATGAGTATCAGCACAGCCATTTAATGTCTGTTGACTTGGGTGCATTATTGTGGTCATTTAATACCCACTAATGTGTTGATGAGACCGGCTCAGATTTCTCCATCATTTCTTTCCTGCCGCAATAAAAATCAATTTTCCCGTCTTGCAAGTGCATCAAGTCACAGTCTCTGGGATGGCCATTTAAATACACTCCCTGGTATTCCCCAGCAAAATGGGAATTATTTGCGTTCCACCTCTCATGGGGCGAAAGGCTCCCGCGGATGGCAGGAAGGTCGGACAGCTCGTCTCCTTGATGAAGGGGATCCTGCTTTCCTGCGCAGCTCAGGTGACCGAGTGCCACCGGAGCCTTGAACCCCAGCCGCGACGTGGCCATTGGCCCGGGAAGGGCGGCCCAATCTGCCTCTGCAGTGCTTGTGTCTTTCATATGGCTCATGGTCATTAATATGTCGAACAAAGTGTACATTAAATTCTGCTACTATGTGTGTAAACCTTTATAAAAATCTGTGACTGCAATCAAAAAATTAAAAATGCCAAAAGTCTTCTATCATGTTTGGTTACTTATGGTTAAGGTTAGGGCTGGGTAGAGCTTAAGGTTGTCATAGTTGGGATTAGGGTTCTTCCCATAGTAATGAATGGACGGGGAGGGTTATGTACTTGGTGTATATTCCAGGTGTATGTTACTGTGTGTGGTGTATATATATGCAGGGTATATCCCAGCTGTATGTAACAGTGTATATGGTGTATATATACACTGGGTATATCCCAGCTCTGTGCCGGTGTGTGGTGTATATACTGTATACATTGGATATATCCCTGCTCTATGTGACAGTGTGTATGGTATATATACACTGGGTATATCCCAGCTCTGTGACAGGGGGGTATATCCCAGCTGTATGTGACGGGTGTGTGTGGTGTATATATACACAGGGTATATCCCAGCTTTGTGACGATGTGTGGTATATATACACTGGGTGTATCCCTGTTCTGTGACGGTGTGTGGTATATATACACTGGGTATATCCCTGTTCTGTGACGGTGTGTGGTATATATACACTGGGTATATCCCTGTTCTGTGACGGTGTGTGGTATATGTACACAGGGTATATTCCTGTTCTGTGATGGTGTGTGGTATATATACACTGGGTATATCCCTGTTCTGTGACGGTGTGTGGTATATATACACTGGGTATATCCCAGCTCTGTGACAATGTATATCCCTGTTCTGTGATGGTGTATGGTCACCTTGCTCCTCTTTGCAGGTCTCAGCAGTGGCAGTGATGACCCCTCCCTCCCTAGGACACCCGCCCCTGGTGAGGCCCAGCCGCAGGCCCCGGGTCGCAGTAGCCCGCACCCCCCCGGCGCCCCCATTCCTCCCCGCCGCTCTCTGCTGCCCCCACCACGTGGCTCCCCCCTCTGTGAGTCTAAGCTTTGGTTAATTCACTTAGATGCAGGTTACATATTTAATGGTATATTTACATGGTTTGTTTACTTTTGCATTTTAACATTTGTTATATTCAAAGATAATTTGGAGTTGATCTCTGTGTCTCATTTTCTTCTGTGATGGTATGTAGAATATATAAAAGTTTAAAAATGGGTAATATAGTGTGCTCACCTTTAATTATCCCCCCCAGCAGCAGCTCTGTAGTATTATATAATGTGTTTATCTAAATTGTCAGTAAATGCACAGTATTGAGACACCCTTTCAGTTGGACTTAGATGCATGAGTGGTAGATGTGGCTGTCACATGCAGAAATCTGACACCTCAAGGTCACCCCTCCCCCCCTTCAAAGTTCACTATACCCCCCACCCCCTCCCAAACCGGGAGGCTGGGTGGGCCGCTACTAATCCATCACCTCCACGCGATGCTTGAAAAGTGCGAGGAGCTGTCCGTGTTTGCCGCCTGCCACAGACGGGATCCCGGAAATATGCTGGCCACGGTTTCGGGTGGCAAAGCAGATGAAGACGGCTGTCAGAGCAGGACTAACTCGTCTTCTTTGCTATGCACTTATCTGTGCTGTAGGCAGCTGAGCCGCGTGAAGAATGCGAGGCATGTGTGAAGTGAACTGCCCCACCGGCCAAGTGCAGAAGGGAATGAGCATCCTGAGAAACAAAAGGCAACTTGTTACATTGAGCCGATAGGTTGAATATTAATGAGCGTGCACGTTAATAAGCTTCTCATTTGCATGCAGTCCAGTGACAGCAATTAATCACGAGCGAAATGTAGGTGTCACTAAAATGAAGGCTGCACTGGCGTCCCTAATGGAAGGGGATGCTCCTCTTTGTAAATGTTTGGTCATAACGTGGGAAATGATGGAAAATTAGAGCCAGTTACGCGTGATTTCATCTAATAAGTAGCTTACATGACAGGGAACCCAAGAGCAGAAGATTTCTGCCTGTTACGGCACAGAGGTACAAGGTGTCTGATGCATCCATTGCTGTTATTACACAGCCCAATGGCCCACTGTACAAACCCTCTTACTCACTCTTTATATACAGGCTTTTGGTCTATATTTAGGCTGCTTCTTTAGGCGTTTCTCACATAGAATTTGAGCATGATAAATGGCTATATGTAAATGTTTTGATAGATACTTTAGCTATTATTTTAATATTGCTCATGTTTTTTTATGTATATGAGTTAGGTAGATTGTTGTGTGTTTGTGTTACGCTTGATGTTGTGTGTTTGATTCTCTGCCATTTTATACGCTGTCATCTTAGCAGTGACTCCAGCAGATTGATTTATTGATTTATTCCTTGCCTGATGGGGGAGACAGTCTGACACGGTAATGCATGTCTCCCAGCCTGCAGGAAGGAGGCGCAGAAGGACCTAACTGGGGGTGGAGGCCGCCCCCTGGTGTCGTCCCCAAAGCGCTTTGCCGCCGTGCCGCCCAAGACGCAGTCCCCAGGTGAGTCCCCTCACCCCCACCGGAGCGCGCCCATCTCCGCGAGTCGTCAAACCTGCGATCTGCGCTCTGCTCGCTGTTGTCATGGAGACAGCAAGCTTGTGCATCCACCGGTAGTTCAGACGGCGCCAGACCGTGTCTGGGAACTTTGTGAGGTTAAAAACAGAACCAGCCGAATTGTGGGTACCCCAGAGGGCAGTTTGATTCATTATATAGGACGGGGGTATGTTCAACCCACCAGGAAGACCTATATTCCTGCATTATTAAATTACTTTTAACATTCTACATTTCCTGTGCGTGTGGAGTTTTTGTGTTCTCCACTTTGTCTGGATGTTCTCCCCTGTGCACGGGATAAATAATTTTTGGTGATGGATGGATGGATGGATGTAGTACATTTCAGTAAAATAATAGCAAGAGCAACAATTAGTATTTATATTTATATAGCGCCTTTCCAGAGGTCAAGGTCACTTTACAAGAATTTAGCAAAAACAAGAAAATGTTTCAAAAACAGTTTAAGCAAAACAAAGCAAATAATAATTTTAAATAAAATAAAACAAAATTAAATGAGGTCAATTTAAAACAACCGATACAGACATTGAGTGCAGTATATCATCAGCATAATGATGAGTTATCTCTTGATAAGGTTATCGAGAAGAAGCATGTACTGTAGATAGTGAACAGTAAGGGGCCGAGGAGGGAGCCCTGTGGGACGCCACGCCTGACTAGCATAGTCTGATCTATGTTTTTAAATAGAGATGAAGCAGTGAGACAGAACTGAAATCATAATAATACCCGACAAATGGGACAGAAGAATATTGTGATGCATGGTGTCAAAAGCAGAGCTACTGTGGTGTTTAAAGCACCAGGGTTAACACAGAGAAGATTGTTAACAACCTTATGAAGTGCTGTTTCAGTACTATAAGAAGGGCAGAACCCGCATTGAAATGATTCAGAGCATAATATCTTGGAATTAAAAGGAAGATTAGAGACAGGCCTGTAGTCCTTTGATTCAGAACTGAGACGAGATTTCGTAAGGACTGGTGTAAGATGAACAACTGGAGAGATAATGATTATAGCAGTTTAATTTAAGCATGAGGAATAATGACAAAGTCATTCCCAAAAAGCACGAATGTGTCACAGTGCGGGTGGTAAGGCGGTCAGGAGGGTGCCCAAACCACCCCCCGCACACTGGATTAGCACTTCCACAATCAGGATCCGCTTTCAGTCAATCCTCAAAGGAGGAAGTAAGAGGAAGGATGCAGAAATAAGTCTGCGAGCGCTGGGAGCAGGTCCACATGGCCGTGCTCGCGTACACTCCGCCGGGTCAGCTAGATCCAGGAGAATTAGGCACCAGGACCCAGAGGCGGCTGTATAGGACGCTGCACACTGCAATGGCTTTGTCACACTCATTTTCCCGCTGTCAAATGAGAGATTAGTCAGTTAACTTTAGACAAGCTGTTTAGCATGTGGGTTCATGCAGAGGAATTCACCTGTACTTTTACATCATGCAGATATTATCCAGCAGTACTTTGGTTTCGGTTCCAGAGCCTTAAACACTGCTGTACCTACCACACACATTTTCACTGTGCTCCTACTCTCCCTCCATCCATCCATCTTCCTCCCGCTTATCCTGGACAGGATGCCAGCCATGTTCCCACTTTATTTCCCTTAATTGTTCATTTGCTGCTGAGTTTAAAATCAATTACTGAATGTGATTTGCAATTCAAATGGAAATTGCATGAATATTAAGCAGCAGTAGGCCTGTTCTTTATTCAGTTTGCACACATGTGACCTTCAGATCTGCCCTCTCAGTAAATCTGCTTTTAGCGCAACTACGCAAGATTCCAGTTCCTCAGGAAATAAGACACAAGTCATTAGTTTCAGCAGAGACAGGTCACCGATGTTTATCCTGGTTAGTTATCAAGTTTGGCTTGGGGGGGGTAGGACATTCTTTGTCCTCTGCCATCGACGACATTCTCATACTTGAGCAGCCAGGGGGACACAGGACAGGTGGCATCCAATCAAGTCTTCGGGGAAGGTCCAGGGTTAAAGGTCAAGATGTTAGATGTTGGTCAATAATAAAAAAAAAATAATCATTTGGACATTCAGTCCCAGAGCAGTCGACGCCTTGAGATCCTCGTTATACTGAATCTCAGCTGCATAGCTGCACTCGCCTCCCCAGCTCATATTACTGGTAGCATCTCAATTACAAAAACGTTAGTTATTCGTGGGATTGTTCCATTTTCAGACTGCTTGGATTATTATGCGATTGTTATTAACATATCAGTTACCAAAAGAATTTTTTTAGTTGTGCAACTTGTCACAAAATAAGAACTTGCGTTAGAGTTTAGTGTAAACTAATCTGTATTTTACCTTCCCTCCTCTTCCACCCCTCCTCCATTTCTACCTCGTCTTCCTCCTCTTCCTCTTCTCCTCTTCCTTCCTTCTCTTCCTCGTCTTCCTACTTCTCTTCCTCCTCTTTCTCTCCTCCTCTTCGCCTCCTCCTCTTCCTCTACTCCTCATCTTTCTCCTCCTGCCCTTCCAGTGCACACGCGGCAGAGGCCAGCTTCTGGCGGCCGAGCGGGCGTCTCCTGCACCCCCACGGGCTCCCCGCGGCGCGGCGTCCCCGACAGTGAGCGGCAGCTGCTGCACCTGCGAGGCCGCTGCCAGGAGCAGGCGCATCAACTGCAGGGCCTGCGGGCGGAGCTGGCCAGCGCCACCTTGGGCCTGGACGCCTTCGCCATAGCCACGATGCATTTCCACCGCATGGTACGGCACGGGTATAAAATTAGGGCACGTTTCACCCGCAGGTCAGATTGAGTCGGCGGGGGGGGGGAGGGGGGTGACATATGTGACCAGGGATAAATTTGTCACAGAGTGCTGGGGGGAAGTTGAAGCATCACAGATGTCCAGATCTCCGTGGCATGGCTGCAGGTCACTGATCACTGTCATGCTTCAGATTCTCTATGCAATAATATTTCTCTACTATAAAATTTAGGTTCAGGGAATTTTGAATGAGAAAATCCATTGATTTGTGAACGGCGATAACTAAAATAAAACAATTAAAGAAGAAATGCGTCTGCTCAGTGAAGGAGTGGGGTGGGGGGGGTGGGGGCAAACAGATATCCCACAGTACATTAGAAGCTCAAGGTCGCCATCTACTGTTTACTGCTTCAAATCCTTTGGTTTTTGTTTTGTTTTTTTTTTTGTTTTTTTTTAATCAATGCACATTTCAGAGACAGCATTCTACAGTCATAATATTAATTTCACCACTTTGTCATGTGATATGACTCAGGTGGCACCAACCTTGAATGCAAATAGTGCTCTTTGATCAGAGATGCAGTGGGTGTATAAGTTTCCTCTATCTTGGGGACCCGCAGACAGTCCTACTGGTACCTGGGGTGTGGACTGTCTGGCAGGGAGCTCGTAAGCAGCAAAAACTTGGACCGACTGCGGGCCCCTGGCGCCTGGATTGAGGAACACTGCTCCATCTGACGCAGACCTGTGACCCTTCCTCTGTCATTTTCCATTCAGAGACGCGCTGCCTAGCCACTGGTGAGCTCTGCTCTGATTCTCACTTCCAGTATAACTCATAATAATCCAAGCACAATGATCCTAAGCTACGGGGTTATTCCATTGATGGCGTCCTCATCTGGGTAGATAAGGCAGCTGCTGTTTGCTCCTCCTGTGTAGCGTGACAGCTAATATGACCCTATTTCCATCTCATCTGCCGCCCTGCTTTGTCTGCTGCCATTTTCTGGAATATTGAATGAATCGTGTTAATGATAATAGAGCCTGTCATCCTGTCATCGACGGCGACCATCGTTCTCTGGAAATGGAGCAGCAGAATTCCTCCTTATTAATATATATATATATATTTGTTTTCAGATAAAACCAATTGCTGAGTGTTTAACCTTGTAATCCCCTTAAAAGATGAGAAAAGTGCGACAGATGGTGTGGAAGAGACAGGGGTCAGGTTAATGTGCTTAGTTACATCGCTCCTGTGTGGATAGTCTGACCTGCCGCACTGGAGGATGCTGGGAATACGATGTTTGTGTGTCCCTGAGGGTCTTATTATCAGTGATTTTAGTTAAGGTGTGGGGTGATTGGGGATTCCCTCTCTCTGCAGCTCAGGGCTGCAGGATGTGTATAGGGGCGTGTTGTCGGTGTCTGCTCACACCTGAGCTGTCGGTCTGTATGTGTATATGTGTGATTAAGCAGTACTGTGACCTGTGTGCATGCATGGGTGTGTCAGCCTGGCTGCAGATGCGAGTTTATTAACAATTGGCCTGAAAGAGTGTGTCTGTGTCTGTGCCAGAATGTGATTAAAAAAACATCTAGATATTTTACATCGTGGGGACATTTCCCCCCCCCTGCAAGGATAACCTCAAATGTACAAAAATCTGTGACTGCAATCAAAAAACTAAAAGCTCCTAAAGTCTAGTACAGATACTCCTCACTTAACGACCTACCTGCTTAACAACCGTCCGAACTTACGTCCAGTTTCATGACCAGTCATTTTACGCTCCACGAGAACTTTGGCCGTGGAAACGGCAGGGCAGCGTTTGTGTTCTATTCTGTTTGTTCTGCTCTCTCATTTATTTGGGTCGGCGAAGGAAAGTTGTATTTTGTTTGCAGTAAATTACCTTTATTGTGATATGCCATATCAGTTTGCAGTAAACACTGAACTTGAGATTGACTTATTTTGATATGTGATGCATGTGCTTTGTATTGTGGGATAGAGAACCTCCAGTAGCACGTAAAGTAAGTTTTTTTTCTTGCTACATATCTTAGTTAATATGTGCAAGTGACATTTATTTTCTATGCATCATTTTAGTTCGGTAATGATCAAAAGGACATTAACAGCGATACACTGGATTGCAGTGATGCTAATTTGCAATATATGCCTATATATGTTAGTGTATCGTTTATTTGTAATTTCGTTGATGACTAATGGTAGCACTTACTGGCCAGCTGGTTGTAACTTTGCTCTACTAGATAAGAGATCTAAGTCTTTTCTGTGTTTGGTGTATTACAGTGTCACTGACCTGTCATACGGAGAAAACATGTACGTAGCGGGAACAGTACACTGCATATTACAGTATACAGTACACTGCGTATTACAGTATACAGTACACTGCTTATTACAGTATACAGTACACTGCGTATTACAGTATACAGTACACTGGGTAGGGGGTAAGGCTGTCATTATACAGATTGCGGCTATACCCTTAGAGTGTGTGTGTGTGTGTGTGTGTGTGTGTGTGTGTGTGT